TGAGTTACCCAGGTGCCCCTTTTTAAAATTATTTTAAAAGGACCTATTTATGTGCCCCAAAGAAGGGAAACTATAAAGAGGATATGATTGGCAATAGTTTTCTGTTTTAATAATGTCTGGAATAGTTTGGCAATTAGTTTTGTGTTTTTAGGGGGACGCTTTATTTATTCTTGCATGGGAAAGAGGGTCTTTTTAGTAATTTAAGGTATAAACCACATTGAAGATTATACAGCATTAAATAACTGAAAAACTTGGGGCACCTGTGTGGCTCAGTTGGCTAATTGTCTGACTCAATTTTGGCTCAGGTTATGATCTCATTGTTGGTGAAATCAAGCCCCTCACATCATGCTGTGTGCTGACAGTGTGGAGCCTGCTTGGGATTTTCTCTCTGTCCTCCTCTCTGCCCCTCCCTTGCTTGCTCTCTCTCTCAAAATAAATAAATAAACATTTAGATAAATAAATAACTGGAAAAGTCACAAAACTAATACGGTAGTCTCACAACCCATTTATAACATTTTATTACTTACAAAAGAACTTGCTTTTTTTTTTTCAAATAAACTATCACTTATACATTTGAGTGTTTTTAGGTGACAAAGGGAATCTGAATACCGTTGCTGACCACAAATTAAAAAAATAATAATAACAACTTTAGAAATTTGTAAATTAGAAAAAAGAAAGAATTTGTTGTTACTTTCTCTTTGGTGAAGATAGAACAGGAGATGTGAAATAACCATTAACTATCAACAATGGGAAAAAGAAAAAATGTACAAATTAAGATGTAAAGATTGTTTTTCATCAGATATTTTTTGACTTCTTGCTATATCTCTTCAACTGTGCTAGAGCTAAGTCCTTTGTTATTAAGTCATAACTTATTTAAGTGGAAGTAACTTATTTAAGTGGAAGTAACTAAAGAAAACCTACTTTTTTATATTTTTACTTAATAACCTTTCTTTAAAAAAAATTTTTTTTTCAACGTTTATTTATTTTTGAGAGACAGAGAAACACAAAGCATGAGGAGGGGAGGGGCAGAGAGAGAGAGGGAGACACAGAATCCGAAGCAGGCTCCAGTCTCCGAGCTGTCAGCACAGAGCCCGATGTGGGGCTTGAACCCACAAACCATGAGATCATGACCTGAGCCGAAGTCAGACACTTAACTGACTGAGCAACCCAGGTGCCCCAATAATAACCTTTCTTAATATTTTAGTTAGAAAAGTTGAGGTGAAAATACATGTAAATTTTCCCTATTTTGTTTTGAAGGGAGCTGTAAGATAAATTTCTAGATAATATTTGTTTGAAGGGATTTTGTTATTTCCTCAGCATACCTTTTAAAACGAGAGATATTAGAGCACATTATATTGCGTAGTTTATATTTTCTTCTAGGCAGGTTATGACATGTGATTTGTATAGTGACATTTCTTGTCTTTAACTCAAATCCTCCCTCCCTTCTGTCCCTCCCTCCCTCCTTTCCTCCCTTCCTTCCTTCTTTCCTTTCTTAAGTTTATTTATTTACTTTGAAAGAGGGAGAGAGAGAGAATGGGGGAGAGCAAAGAGACACAGAGAGAGAATCCCAAGCAGTCTCCGTGCTATCAGTGTGAAGCCCCACCAAAGGCTCCATCTTAGGAACCGTGAGATCATGACCTGAGCTGAAATCAGTAGGCGCTTCATTAAGAACTGAGTTACTCAGGTGTCCCAACCCAAATTATTTTAATACCCAAATTCTAAATTCTTGGTTCTAAAGGTATAAAGTAAAGCATGATATATATAGGACTGTTTAGGAAAGGTAGTAGTCTCTTCTACTCAGACAGTCAAAAGTCCTTTAAAAACAAGTAAATAAAGTAGATCAAAGATTTGAGCATTAAAAAAGGAAAACAAAAATTTTATAAGAAAGTATAGGTACATAATTTTTTTTTTAATTTTAGAGAGAGTGTGCGTGTGCATGTGCAAATGGGGAAGGGACAGAGAGAGAGAGAATCCCAAGCAGGCTCCGTGCACAGCACAGAGCCTAACGTGGGGCTTGATCCCATGACCCTGGGACCATGACCCAAGCTGAATTCAGGAGTGAGATGCTCAACTAACTGAACCACCCAGGCATCCCATAGGTAGATACATTTTTTTTTTTAATTTTTTTTTCTCCGTTTTTTATTATTATTTATTTTTGGGACAGAGAGAGACAGAGCATGAACAGGGGAGGGGCAGAGAGAGAGGGAGACACAGAATCGGAAACAGGCTCCAGGCTCCGAGCCATCAGCCCAGAGCCTGACGCTGACGTGGGGCTCGAACTCACGGACCGCGAGATCGTGACCTGGCTGAAGTCGGACGCTTAACTGACTGCGCCACCCAGGCGCCCCGGTAGATACATTTCTAATCTCTGAGTATAGAAGGCTGATTAGAAAAATTGGTACATAAAGTCATTAAGCCATAATGGGAAAGATGGATACATTTGAATATATAAAACTAATAACTTACCCTTTTCTGAAATGCTTCATCATAAATAACTATGCAACAACATACAAGAGAAAAATTATTTGTAACACGTTTGGTAGACATAAGTCTAATTTTAAGATTTCTAGCAATAGTTCTTATATTTTGTTGGCAGAACTTAGTCATATACCCATAGGTAAGAGGGGCCTGTCTTTTAATTCTTTTCATTGGGCAGCAAAAAGCCAAATGGTTTCTAATAGGAAGGAAAGAATGGATGATGGACACAGACACAAAAATATCTGCCACACAAGTAAACCTAACCAATCAACCAACCAAATACAGTATTATAAAATGAAATGTGTTGTGAAAAAATTTAATCAGGGCAAAGGGTTATCAAAGACTTAAAGGTTTCGGTGGCTACAAATACAGTAGAGAAGACTTCTCTTGAGGTGATATTTAAGCAAAGACCTGAATGAAGTGAGGAAATAATATACATGAAAATCTGATGGATGGTACATGTGCAAAGGCCCTGGTACAAGTAGAGCAAAAAGACTAGTGTGAATGATGAATGAACAGAGTGATAGATGAGGTTGAGGAGGTGTGTATGGGGCCGGAGAATGTGGGGTTTTGTAACCTTGGTACAGAGTTTGGATTATTTTCCTAATCTGATGGGAATGCAGGGGAGATTTTTGAGCTATAAGGAGGCTAGGGGAACCATCGTAGATGGCTAGGCAAGAGAAGAGGTTGACCTGAACTAGAATGGGATATATTTTGTAGGTAATAGAACTTACTAATGGTTTGGATAGGAAATACGAGGAAGAGAGCAACCAGAATTGACTTGTAGGTGTTAGGCCTTTGAAGAAATGACTAGATGGTGGTGTCATTTTCTGAGATGCATAGTAGTAGGTTTGTGAAAGAGTAGGAAATCAAAAAGTCTATTTTGGATAAGTTAAATCTGAGATACCTATTAGGTATTCAAATGGAATTATTGAGTAGGCAGTTAGAAATCGGAGTCTGCACCTAGGGGTAGAGGAAATAGCTAAGGCGGGAAATGTGGAAGTCCTTAGTGTAGAGTTGATACATGAAACCATGGAACTATGAGGTCCCCTAGAGCAATGGTTCTTATTTAATCCTGAGTGTACAGAATCACCTGAGGAACTTGTAAAAAATACTGGTGCTTGAACCTTACCCGAAACCAATTAAATCAGAATCTCTAGATAATCACTATTTTTAAAAACTTCTCCTAAAGTGATTCCTAACTCTCAACCATAGTTGATGACAATGGACCTAGGCAGTAAGGACTAAAATTGCTCATTGTCTATGGGATTTGGCTACATAGGGGACCTTAAAAAAGGAATTTAATATCATAGTAGGGAGGGACATCTGACTGGAAGAAGTAATAGAGTGAATGAGGTGAGGAAGTGGAGACTGTGTTTATAGGCAACTCTTCCAAGGAATTTTGCTGAAAAGGGGAGCTGAAAAATGGAGCTGTAAATAGAGAACAATTCCCTTTTAGAGCAAAATAACTGATATTTAGCATTCCATCATTTATACCCTGAAGTGTGGGTGGTAGAAATAGTCGAAGTGAATGTGGGTTACCAGTGTAAGAACTTCTTAAAATAAAGCTTTCCTGCTACAGTTTTCAAGAGTCTATTTTATAGTTCTAGAACTAGAGATCAAGAAACATTTTTCATTTTAAAATTTAATGTAGTGTCTTCTCTGATACAGCTACAAAGCAATGCATTAAAAATGTCTTTTGTTTCTTTAAGGCTGATAAAGAATTTGTATGGTCTCTGTGGAAACGTCTCCAGGTGACAAACCCAGATCTCACACAAGCAGTCAGTTTGGTTGTAGAACGGTGAGCTTCCAAGTAATTTTTTCATGAGTATTTGGTTTGTTGAATTTGCTTTGCTTTATTATTAAAACTTGGCATTAGGCCCCTAAAGAGATTTTATTTCCAAATGAATGTGAAGCATGATATTAATAATTATTGGACTTATTTCAAGGGGTACCAGTTAATAAATATAAATAGGCCATATCTCCTACTTATATTCTGATGTATTTGGAAGGTTTGGAGGTAAGAGATAAAAGTGTGACTTAGACATTGTGTGTGTGCGTGTTATGTGTGTGTCTGTTTATGTCGGTGTGTTGAGCTATTATGACACAACTTTAAAAATTAGAGAAGTACCTGTTACTTGGTTTTTTACTCTGAAACTGCCTCTGTTGACAACTTTCTAGACATGATCCTTCCTAGACATGGCTCAGTTTTCCCCTAAGGTAATTGCATTGCATACCTGAAAGCCTGGGATGACCTTGCCAGAATAAAGTAATCTGGAATAGGCTGAGGGATTTCGCTTAGCACTCTGTATTACCTTGTAGGGGATGCTCGTTGATTTAACTATATATTACTGGGCCTCTCCTTGGTCATTAGAAATAGCAGAGTGATGCTGGGTACTCCTTACCAAACATTTGGTGTAAGGTAGTCCCATGATGCTTAGCATAGCAATTAAAACACTTGCTTTCGTATTAAATGGATTTCAGTACATTTCCTAAATGAGAAGCTAAGCATATGGATGGATGCCGTTTCCTGTGTCTTTATTGGAATCATGATTATATAATCTGAATATCAGTTTTTGATAACTTGACCTTTGGTATGTCTGGCCCTAGGATCATTCCAGTGTTGTCTGGAATTTGACTTTTAAAAATCTGTGATAGATACCTATGTACAGTTTTACCATTCTCCATTATTGTGGACTCTTAAAGTAGTATATTCACCTTCCCTTCATGTTACTTATATGTCTCATTCATCAATCAGTTTTTCCCTTTCGATAATCAGAATTAAGCCTTTTGTTGAAGTACCTTATTATTTCCTTGAGATGAAATGTGATCACTCTCAGTTGCATTCTGTTTTCTAGCCAAATAAGCCTTCTAGAAGAAACATTCTTGGGACTTCAGTAGTAATTTCTGTGATTTTTTTCATTATCCTCCTCTCATTTTATTTGTATATTCCAGCTTTCTAATTTGTTATTTTTTAAACTAACTAAAACTGTCTTTAATTTTCACTTTCCTCTTGGTTGAGAGAGAAATATTAACATATTGTTGAGTCCTCTTTCTCACCCTTTGAGATTTCTACTTTTTAATATACATAATACACATACAAAAGTATATATACACACTTTGTAAATAAATGCACATATATTTTGTGAGTATACTCAAAAGCCCTATGCTGATAAGATATATAATGGGAAATTTTGGAGATTATTACTTTACAGCTATGATTCTCAAAATTTTAGTGTGCCTAAGCTATACCTAGTGAATTTATTAAAATGCAGATTTCTGGGATTTTTCCCTAGATCTACTGAATCTCTAGCAATGAGGTCCAGAAGTCTTAAAATTTTTTTTTAAGTTTATTTATTTACTTTGAGAGAGACAGAGACAGCATGAGCAGGGGAGAGGCAGAGAGAGAGGGAGAGAGAGAGATTCCCAAGCAGGCTCTGCAGTCAGTGCAGAGCCCAATGCAGGGCTTGAACTTGAAACTGTGAGATCATGACCTGAGCTGAACCTGAGTCGGATGCTTCTTTTTTTTTTTTTTTTTTTTTTTTTTTTTTTTTAACTGAGCCACCCAGGCACCCCTAGAAGTCTTTTAAAAACAGCTCTCCAGATAATTCTGATGTTGTAGTTCATAGGTCATACTGTGAGATACTTTGAAATTTGAGTTGACTTTTGAAACTGGAAGCCTATAAGTGGCATTTATAACTTTATAATTATGTGAACATTTATTTCCTAGAGAACCATGTAGTATGTTTTGACTTGTGAAAAAGGAAAAATGGTATACCATTGAATCTTTATTTTTCAAAAAAAGAATATTCTCAAAATCAAAGTCAAATACACTGTCTTTGTATAGTCCACTGGTTACCCAAATAATGTTACATTTAAGTCTGTTTAATATCTGTGCCTTGATCTTCCTAGACAACATTTTTCCCCTTGGAATTTCTAATAGTCCTTCTTTTCTGCTTTCTTATCATAAAGAATGTCTGTATTTGTTTAACAGCCTAAGACATTCTTCCTTGAGCCTTTTGGCTTATGGTATGAATTTGGACCATTTGCTTTCTACACCTACTCATAGCTATTACCTTAGATTTCCTTTTCATTGTACTCTTGGACTTGTTCCACAGTTCCTGGTATCCCATATCTTTCTTTTTGTTGGGTTATGTTTTCAACATTATTTCTGAGAAAGGATGCACAAGTCACTTTCTGACTCCTTACATGCCTGAAAATGTCTTTCTTTTGTCCTTATGCTTGATTGATAGTTTAGCTGAATGTGCAATTTTATGTCCACATAATTTCCTTCAGATTTTTGAAAGTATAGCTCTGTTATCTTCTTTTAGCATGTAGAGATGCTACCAAGTGTATTTGTGATCCAGTGTAAGTATGATTCTTTTTTCTAGGTAGCTTGCTTAAATTAAACTTTCAAGATAGTCTCTTTGTATGTAACATAGTAAAATTTCAATATCAGCTATTAATTTGGGTTTTTAAAAAATCCAACCTTCTCAGCCTTTGGTGGGCCCTTTCAAACTTAAGACTTAAGATTTTCTTTTGATTAAGGAAAGTCATCTTTGGCCATTTGCTGTAGGCAAATGCTTCAAGTGAGTGAGAGACTCAGCTTTTTGATAAATGGTTCCTTTATTAGTCTTCTTGACTACTTTGGGCTTCTGTTCTCTGTATTTACTAATTGGGTACTTAGAGTCTCTTTGAGCATCTTTGAGAAAAAGCATCTTCCTCTTCCACTGTAGGCATCATTTAGATTTTGATTTGATTTTTCTTCTCTGGGTTTGTGAGCACATCCTTCTGTCTTTCCAATGTTTCTCACATTTATGGTCAATTTTGGCCCCTTTTCTTATTTTCCATGCTGATAGGTATTTATTCAATTCAATGTGATTTGTGGAAGTCAGTATCATCTTCACCAAGTTAATCATCTTTAAGTGGAAGTACAGTATCATTTTTACTGGTTACAATATATTTTTATTTTGATACACCATATTTATATTTAACCGGTGTCGGTGTCTTGTTTTGATACATTAAGATTATTTTATTTTTTTAAAAATCGTATGATCATGCTGTGATGAATGGCCTTCTGGATAAATCTTTGCCTGCATTGTTAGTTTCAAGTAGTGCTGCTGCTGTCATAGTGGTGTAGGCTGAGATTGCTAACCATACTGAAACGAATAGGTTAATCCTGCTCCATTAAAGAATCATACTGCTCCAAATGTCAATACCCTTTTGGGAAAATGCCTATCTGCAACTTTTTTAACTTTTTTATTTTTTAATTTTTTTTTTTTAAATTTTTTTTTTCAACGTTTATTTATTTTTGGGACAGAGAGAGACAGAGCATGAACGGGGGAGGGGCAGAGAGAGAGGGAGACACAGAATCGGAAACAGGCTCCAGGCTCTGAGCCATCAGCCCAGAGCCTGACGCGGGGCTCGAACTCCCGGACCGCGAGATCGTGACCTGGATGAAGTCGGACGCTTAACCGACTGCGCCACCCAGGCGCCCCTTTTTTAACTTTTTTAACTTTTTGACACTTTATTATAATTTTCTGGTAAGTTTTTTTGTGGGATGTCTGTGTACAGGGATACCTTGGAGATGTTGTGGGTTTGGAAGTTATGTTTCTACTATACTATAGTCTATTAGTGTGCAATCGCATTATGTCTAAAAAAATAATGTACATACCTTAATTTAAAATACTTTATTGGTTCAAAAAAAACACTTTATTCCTAAAAAAATGCTAACCATCATCTGAGCTTTCATTGAGTTGTAATCTTTTTGCTCATGTAAGGTCTTGCTTTGGTGTTGATGGCTGATCACTGATAAGAGTGGTAGTTGCTGAAGGTTGTGGTGGCAATTTCTTAAAATAAGACAGCAATAAAGTTTGCCATATCAATTGACTCTTCCTTTCTAAAACATTTCTCTGTAGCATGCAATGCCATTTGATATCATTTTACCCACAGAATTTCTTTCAGAATTGGAGTCTATCCTTTCAAACCCTGCTGCTACTTTGTAAACTAAGTTTATGAAAGATTCTAAGTCCTTTGTTGTTGTTTCAACAATCTTATGGCATCTTCACCAAGAACCACTCAAGAAACTTCTTTCTTTGTTCATCCATTAGAAGCAACTTTTTATCTGTTAAAGTATGATTATGAGGGGCGCCTGGGTGGCGCAGTCGGTTAAGCGTCCGACTTCAGCTCAGGTCACGATCTCGCGGTCCGTGAGTTCGAGCCCCGCGTCAGGCTCTGGGCTGATGGCTCAGAGCCTGGAGCCTGTTTCCGATTCTGTCTCCCTCTCTCTCTGCCCCTCCCCCGTTCATGCTCTGTCTCTCTCTGTCCCAAAAAAAAATAAATAAACGTTAAAAAAAAATTTTAAAGCATGATTATGAGATTGCAGCAGATCAAACGTATCTTCAGACTCCACTTCTAATTCTAGTTCTGTTGCTATTTCTACCACACCTGCAATTACTCCTCCCACAAAAGTCTTGAATTTGAATTCCTCAAAGTCATCCAATGAAGGTTGGAATCAACTTCTCAAAACTCCTGGTAATGTTGATATTCTGACCTCTTTCCATGAATCATGGCTGTTCTTAATGGCATGTGGAATGGTGAGTCATTTCCAGAAGCTTTTCAGTTGATTTTTTCCAGATCCATCAGAAGAACCATGATCCATGGCAGCTGAGAGTTGAAATGACTCCTGGATGTATGGGCTGCAGAATGGATATTTTGTTAGCAGGCATGAAAACATTGTATGTCTCCATCAGAGCTCTTGGGTAACTAGGTGGATGGCCAGTGAGCTGTAATGTTTTGAAA